TGGTGGTTGTTAATCAACAAGACAACTTCCATCCTCTTAATATTACATCCATTTTTACTTCATCCAATTAAATCCTAGGTTCATTCTTAACCTAGTCACCACCTAAATCCAAGCCGCCACCTTAGTTACTTTCCTTCACCCTTTTATTACCCTTTGACCATTAACAACTTACTTAAGATAATATATACTTACTTTAACAAGTAGATCATTTTATCAAAATGACACATTTTTTATTATATATAAAATCTATCATAGATAAAGAAACTCCCAAGTTTTTCTTTGACAATATCTATTGGTATCATGGATTGCCAAAAGATATTATATCGGATAGAAAAATTTAATTTGTATCAAGATTTTAGAAAATTCTTTTTAAGATTTTAAAGATAGACATAAAGCTTTTTTTGGCCTTTCATCCTCAAGTTAATGGATAGACAAAGCACATAAATCAAGTTTTAGAGTAATACTTAAGGTGTACCATCAATTATCAATAAAATGATTGGACAACCTTCTTGCCATTAGTAAAATTTACTTATAATAATATGATACATTCTTCTCACAATAAATATCTTTCTTTTCCAATTTTGGTTATCATCTATGACTTGATATTTTTGACTTTTTAAAAGTTAATAATCCTATAGCAAAAGATTTGGCAAATTTTTTATCAGAGCTATATGCAACAATGAAGATTCAATTAAAGAAAGCTCAAAAAAGACAAAAGATCAATACAGATGCCTATCAAAAAGAACAACCACAATTCAATATAGGTGATAAGACATAGTTATTTTGTCATAATATCAAGACTACTTGTGCTTGTGATAAGTTGGACTACTACAAGCGTAGACCTTTTTTTTTAATTTGTGAACAAATCAATCTAGTTACTTATCGATTATATCTATTGGAGTTAATGAAGATCCATCTTGTATTTCACATATCTCTTCTTAAACCATACAAGATTGTGAATATACCAAAAAGAAGACAAGTCCCACTTCCTCTTATAGAAGTAGACCATAATCAAGAGTTTGAAGTGGAAGAAGTTTTAGACTCAAGGCAATGCTGAAATAAATTGGAATATCTTGTCCATTGGCATAGATATGATATTAGTGAATACATATGAGAGCCAACAAAAAATCTTACAAATTCAACAAAGAATATCAAAGCTTTTTATCAACAACATCCATCAAAACCAAGATTAAGGATAGAAATCTTTGCTATAAAAGAAATACAATTTAGGAAAGATTGCATTCTATCTTCTATCTTTATTTGTAATTTTTATATAATTATGGCATTAGAGAGATGAAAAACCAATAGCTAGCAGATTTAATTCAAGAGCCATCATTTGATGACTTATTGGATGATCCATTACAATTGTCACAATCTTTAAGATGTCATAATAAGAATGAAGACCTTCAAGAATGACATGTTCTTCTTTGAATAGATGGCAATGTACAACATATTTAGTATCATAACTTAAAAAAATACTTTCAATATTTGGTGATTTTATTAGAGGTAGATATGACTATTGATAGTGTTATGAATATTTTATTTGAAGGAAGTTACAAAGGTTTTATAAATGATCAAATCATAAGATGGTCTTCCCACCTTGAAATAGAACATTATTAATAGTTGAAAAGATCTATCAACTACCTTTGAAGAAAACAAAGATTAGAATGCATGATAAATGTAATTTGTCACATCTTAGACTTTCTCAATATATAATCATTGATCCTTTGTTGAACTCGTTCTTAGAAGGAAGAAATAATGTTATAGATATATATCTATTATAATTGTTATTTAGGTAATAATTGTCACTTACTACCCTTAGGTTGCATGTGCTGACTTCAAAATCCAAGATCTCTTTCAATCCAACTTAGAATCCAGCAAGCAATATACAAAAAGTGTAGCTGCAAAAGTGTTCTCTACAATCACAGTCATCATTAATCAATTGCTTGCTGTACATGTGCATTATGTCAAAAAGAGTGACAGTAGCTTCCAAATCAACACCTTAACTTTGAGAGCCTATATCTCCTTCATATAAACTCCAAATCATCCAAGATTTGTACCAAAACCATAGCCAAAAACCTAAACTTACTGATTGTAGACTTCAAAGCTCGAATGGCTCCAAAAAAACTAATCCTAATCTCTAATATGGCCTCAGGCAGCCTCCTCAAAGCCTATTGGTCATGATTTTTGACCAATAGGAATGGAGATTTTCATCATCCATCTCCATTCATCTATATGGATGCCCTAAACTCTCTTTTTGCTACCAAAACCCTTCTTCAATCCTTTTTCTTATAAGATTTACATAATTTATGCTCTAAACACCAAATAAAGAACCAAAATAAGTTTTCAAAGGTCACCAATGTCTAACAAAGGTGACTCTAAATATTTAGAAGTTACTATCAACAAAAACCAATCTTAAAAGCCACTATCAAAAGAAATTAAAGATATACAAATTCTAATATTAATCCTTTTAAACAACCTCTTCTTGCGAATGCAAATCTCGATCTCTAAATATCCCTTCTTGCGAATGCAAATCTTCTTCTTTAAACTTGTATGGCCTCGGTTTTAACTTGCTTAGTCTATCTCTTTTTATTTTCTCTCTGTAAAACTTTGTAAGAAGATTCTACTCACCTTTAGCTTTGCAATGGCATAAGGCATATCTGATTTGAAGTTGTGACGAATTTTTGGCGAGTTTTCAAGATGACAAAGGTCTATTGCCTTAGTAGTGTAAGAGAATCGGCTTAAGAAATCTATAACTCAATGACTTCTAACTCAACTTTGATGTGGATTGTTGAAATGAATGCAATCTCAAGCTTAGTTTACTAAAAAATTTAAATCACTAATTCTCAATCTATACCAAATTTTTAATGAATTTTCAAATGCAAAGGGATCTGCTACCTTGGCAGTATTGAACAACCAGCTTTGAAAAAAATTATCTTAGTACTTACTTATATTTTTTGCTGGAATTTGTTGGAAAAGAAACTCTACTAAGTTTAGTTTTAGGAAAAATTATACTTGTCAATTTTAAACTATTAACTGTTTTTTAGTGAATTTTTAAGTAGAAGGGGGTCTGCTGCTTAGGCAGCTCAAGTTGCCTTGCTTTGAAAATACACATCTCGGATGTCAAATCTCAGATCACCATGAAATTTGGTAGATAGGAGCAACTCTAAGTCAATCTCAACCACAAAAAAATTCAAGTGCATAGGAGTTATGTGGAATTGTTAGCAAATTTTTGAACAACAAGGAATGTGCTGCCCTCAACTTGACATACTCTAAGTAAGTTTTTCTTCCCTAATCACCCTCTAATCACATCCCTTAGCACCTAAATTGCTATATTATCACTCATTCGTCTTATTATCATTAATTAATGCTATTTAATAATTTCAAAGAACTTTTATCTCACTTAGAAATTAATCTTAAATTCTTATCTTTCCATCTATTCTTACCCTTAAAGATAAAATAAAATAAAAATAAAAATTAATCTAATCTTTTAATTTTTTCCTATTTCTTTTAGTCTTAACCTTTTAACTTTTATTTTTAACCTTCAACTTTAAACTTTTAATTTTAATCTTAATCTTTTACTTTTATTACTTTTAAACTTTCACTTAACTTTTAATTATTAATTCTAAGTTAAATTTTAATTTAATTTTTTAATTTTAATTTTTTAATCTTCCAACTTTCATCTTTTATCTTAAAAAAAATCTTAACATCATGTTAGTGCTGAACTTAAATATTTAAGGCTATTTATTACTGAATTTCTAATTCTAGATGAAGTTTTGTCATAAAAACTTCATCCGTAGATAACTTTCTATATAGAACTCCGATTTACATAGTTAATACCACCTTGGAAAGCCCTAGACTAGCACTCTAGCATGGTATTCATTGTTTTTATTCTATTTTATTCAAATTCATGATTTTCAGAATTTAAGTTTAATAGAATAAGTCTTGGAAGGTACTTAACTAAATGAACTGCAAATGCTAAAAATTAAATTATAAAAAAGTGTAACTAACTTGTTGTGTTGTTGGATTAATCTTGATTATTACCTCATTTTGGTTTTCCTATCTTATAGATGATTTGTATCTCCACATTAATTAATATTGGACTCTAATATAAGTTATGATCTAATTAAATCAAATTAAAGTGAGAGAAGAAAAATCCTTTTTCTAGAAGCTTCATAGATTTTGCATGTATTTGTAATTAATTATTAGATTAGAAATTTGGCCAATAAGTTAGCCATGTGTCATACATATTGGTAGCTTATAGTATAAGCTAATTATGTGGCTTACTTATAAAAAAAACTTTCCTTACAAGTTAAGATACATGTTTTACAAGTTGAAAATGTATTGGAGATTCTACAAAATATTGTTACATAGCTTCTAATTAGATAATATATATGGAGGCAAGAGTAAAGCCTTCTTCATTCTTATCAATGCTTTTTTTGTCCTTAGTCTTGTTTCAAGTCTTTTTAGTTTCTTTTTCTTTGGTAATAGCCATTCTTGTTTAATATTATACCATCTTTAAGTGATTTCTTAGTCTTTTAAAGTGACATAAGAGTGTATTATTCTTTTAGTTGTTTAAGATTCATATCTTCAATATCAAGCCTACTTAATGGTCTAAATAGAATCAAATAAAATTAAAGAAAAGACAATAATTATAAGATGTGCCCACCATAGTATGCAATAGCAATAATAGCCAAACTTAGATGGTAGAGAGATTCTACTATCCACATACAAATTCTAATAAGTTTAAGGAGCTAAATTCTACAAATTTAAGTTTAAGGAGCTAAATTCCAATAAGTTTTTATATAATGTCTTCATATACTATTTATATTATTGAAGCAATTATTCAATATGTGAAAGAGAATATTGCCACTTATTCATAGTTTAGTGTTTTTTTCTTTTATTTTTTATTTTTTTGTTTTTACTTTCTTCATTTTAAGTATTATAATGTTATCAAGTATCTTTCAATTTTAGGCAAAGACTGTACTAGTTGATACATATTATGATCAAAACAAAGAAGATAAAGTTCAAATTCTCAAACCTTTTTAATGAGCTTAGAAATGAAGTTTGAATTGAATCACTAAAATGTATCTATTATTTTGTGCTTTGTAATGAAGTAGCTTGACGTTCTACTAGAATTTTTGGGCTTGTGACTTTGTTACTTGCTTGCTCATTAATCTTCATCGCAATAGTCTTCACAGAAATTGCAATTGCACTCAAAGATGAACAATTGTTGGGCTAGCTCTCATAATGACCACCTGATGTGACACTAGTCGTTAACACAATTGCTACAAGTTTCAAGTCACGGTGATTGCCTATCGTTTGATTAAATCAACCACACCCAACGCCCCTAATCGACCTCGTCAAAATGTCCGCAGCCTTCGCTGAACCAACCAAATCAACGTCGCACAACAGGTGTTCTTCCAAGTCCTGCAACCTTTGTATAGGAAATAAATCCAGACGAACCACAAGGGACTGCCACAACATTGCAGCCCAACCACCCTTGCGAAGCCTTTCCAGCACAAAATCGAGGAGGAGAAAAATAGGAAGATAACTCAAACAGGTCGAGGAACAACGGCAATGCCACCTTCAACTTCAATGTCGCTAAGCAATCCAGCTCACTGAGCCTCTGAACGTGATACCTCAACGCCAGAATTCGCGAAGCGCAAGGAACAACCCTCATAGTCAGAGCGCTCGAAGCTCCTGTAACACACAAGGGAAAAAAACAACAGAGGAGCTTCTGTTGCGCCAGATTATTGCTGCCAATCCTAATCGACCACCGCAACTTGAGCCACTTCAACACGCCTCTGCAACACAGTAAGAAGGGAAGAATTTGGAAGAAGGTAAAAATAATGTCGTAGTGTCGTTGCTGCACCGCTGCGTTAAGGAATACCAAACACTTGCTGCACTGTAGCAAAGCGAGGAAAGGAACCAGTTCCAGATCTTGAGCCTTCGCAACGCCGGCACCCTTGTAGTCGCCCTCCACCGGCAACACGATCGCCTCGAGCCCTTCTCAAAAGTGCTTTCGCACAACCAACATAAGAGAACATATGTAAGTACAATTCTTGCTACAATGGGTTCGACAGAGCATTAGCAAGCTCACTCCCAGCGCCGCTAGAACCATCTGGCTCAGCGAGCCTTTGAACGCAACAACCCTGCCGAAATTTGCAAAGCACAAAAAAAAAATGCCCTCCCCATTAGGAGCGCCGGAACGCCCTCAAAAACCAAACAAAAAAAAACAAGAGAGAAGGAAAATACAGCACCGCAACATTTCCACAATGTGGAGGAGAACCCAAAACAATTTTTTGGAGCGCCGGAACTCATGAACCGTGAAGGAAAAAAAAACAAAGACAAAACAAAACAAAAAACAAAAAACCAAAAGAGAAAGAGTGGATCTAGGGCGGCCCGGACCCCTATCGGCAAATTCGGAGGCAGCCTCTTGCCCTCTAATCCATCTTTTTCTTTTTTCTTTTTCTTTTGTCCTGTTTTCTATTTAATTTTTTCTTTCTTTTTCTACTTTTCTTTTTATTTTTATTTTCTCTCCTCATTCTCTCCTACTAATTGCCTACCTTTCTTTTCTCTATTTTTTCTTCTCCTTCTTCTATTATTATTATTATTAATACTATTATTTTGTTTTCTTCTAATTTTTAAATTGACCACTTCAACTTTACCTTTTATTCCTAATCCAATTAGTATTCTATGGAATAAATCTACTATAAAAAAATATTGTATATCAGCTCAATTAAGGAGCAATTATTTATTTTTAAAATTCTTCTTCAAAAAATCCTACCAAAGACCCTGTCTTGTATTTAAAAATCATATTTTTTGTTATTTACCTCAAAATTCCTATAATAACTCACTAGATTGATGATTTTGAGCACCATAAGTACTTTTTTTGGTACTAAACATACAAGAGAGCCAATTAAATGACTTACATCAAATGAATTTAGGACTAAATCATAAACATGTGTTGTATACCTCATTGTTTGTATGTAATATCTTCCATTGAACAAATTTCACCATTTATTATCACGTATTGCCAATGCAAAATCAAATCTTAGATTCAATGGATTTTTGATGGATGAAGCTTATAAATCAATTTGAGTCAATATTCCATTTTCCTCTTTGTGGAATTTGCATGAAGCAAGGTATCATTATAGTAGATGAAAGAGGTTAATGCAGCTTGCTTTGCATGCATTGATTAGCCACTTATTGAAGAAGCAAGTTATATTATCTTTGAAATTTACAAGGCTGTGCCCACTTATGAGCTTTTTTCTTGTGCATATCACCTAAGCCATATGTGTCCAAGTTCTTTGTTGTCTACGAACTCAAAGGTTGTTCTTTAATATAGCTTCGATTTATTTGATAATTTTTTTCAATCCTATCCATACTAAGATAAATTATCAAAAGGTCAAGAGCAATCCATGATTTACTATGATACAATGGCAAGCCAAAGAAAGGTGAATGAAGCTCAAGTACATGAATTTTTGCCAAATTTTATCCAATACGAATTTCTTGACATTGTGTGTGGTGATGGATAGATCAAAAGACATACATAGCAATTTTGCAAGTTGTGCCTCTAGTATTGTATTGTAATATAGCCATTAGGTAAAAGATTAAAATATATATATATATATATATATATATATATATATTATAAAAGAGCTTAAATAAAAATATTGTAGCAAAACATCTTAGAAATATAGGTAATAGATAAGAAGGTAGAAAAAATATAAAAGTGTTAATGCTACATTTTTGTAAAAGAAAATTCTCTTTATTTTGAAGGGCCATAAATAAAGAAAATCAAAGTACATAAGAAAAATAATTAATATAGACATATCAATAAAAGAATTAAGAATAGTTTTTTGAGAAAAATTACCTAAAGAAATTAAGAATTGATACTAAAACAAGTTTGGTTATGAATCTAAGATAAAATTAGATCCTAAGGCACATAATCATGCACCTACAATAATTCTAAGGTTCTTTTGATAATTTCATTATATAATTAGAAAGAAAACTTCAAAAGAGTTGTTTGAGCATTTGTTTTAAGTGATTTTAATACATATTGAATTTTTGAGCATTGTTCAAAGTAAAAGTTGTACTCAATGGTTTTGGATTTTAAGAAATAAAAAGAGGTTTACAAATTTAAAAATTATCTAAGTATTATAGCAAATTTATAGAAGAAATTATATAGATTCATAATTGTGCTTTTTTTAAATGTATTTGATAAATTTGAGGTCAATTGATTAGTTAAATTGAATGATATGAGAATTTTAATGGATTAGGATCTTAAATATTTGAAATTTAAGGTTAGTGAGGATTTTTGCAATTCTAAAAAATCTACTAATTTGATTGAAGCAAAACTTGGTGAAAGAAATTTGGACTTAGATTTCTATAAAAATTACTAATTTATAATATAATTGAATGATTTAGCAAAGAGAAATTATTGCTAAAAGATTAAAATCTATGTTAGAGAAGGAGGATGGCCAACATTTAAGCATTTTAAGAGATTTTTCTTTCAATTGATTAGTTCAATTTTTGTCAAATTTTATGTGCTTATTATTTGCTTCTAGATTGAAATAAATATAATATTTTAATTGAGATCAATGATTCAATTAATAGTTATTGAGATTTTATACAACTATAAGAGTTGATTAGAATTTACTTAAGATTTTTTGGAATTTATTTAGGATTTTTTTAGAGTTTGTTTAAGATTTATTTAGAATTTATTTAGGATTTTTTTAAGATTTGAATAAGATTTGATTTAGGATTTAGAATTAGCTTAAGATTATTTAGGATTTGATAAGGATTTGATTTAATATTTGATTTAGAATTTAGAAGTTGATTAAGATTTGATTAAAATTGGTTTATAATTTTATCAAGATTTTTTTAGAATTATATTAGAATTTGGTTAAGATTTATTTAGAATTTTTATTTTTAATATTTTTTTAAAGATTTCTTTGATATTTTTTTTAAGATTTTTTTTTATTTCATTGGATTTTTTTATCATATATATATATATATATATGTATATATATATATAAAGATTAATTTATGGTTTTTTATGTTTCTTTTGTAATTTCTTGAAGACTTCTTTTGGATTTGATTAAAGTTAGATTATCATTATTAAGATTTAATTAAAATTTGTTTAATATTCTATTAAAGTTATTAAGACCTTACTATTGTAAATTCCATTTTTTCTTTTGCAACTAAGTGTATTCTTAGGTAAACTTTATTAAATATAATATTGGTATCTACACCAAATCAAATTTGGTAGTCCAACTGGAAAAAGATTGTGTTTGTCCATCCAATAAGCCTCCTATTTGGTCCAATTTATTATTAATCCAAAAGAAATTGTGAAAGTCTTAAATATGTTGACAAATTGATTTATCTTTAGTTTATGAATATGTATTGAAAATGAAGTGTCATCAATATACTAAAGCATTAGTTGTTGCAACATTGATCTAAAAAGTATAATACCAATAATAAAGTTTTAGAATTGTTCATAAGTGATCTTTGCATTTACAGCCTCCATAATTAGTATAAAAAGATATGGAGCTATGAAGCATCTTTGCTTAACTCCGTGTTAGATTAGAAATGTGGCAATAGATATTCTATTAACATTAATAGTTGCATTTGCTCCTATTAGAGTTATCTTGATCATCCAAATGAAGTTCTCAAGAAAGCTCATTCTATATAATATGTTGAGTACAAACTCCTGGCTGATCTAATTATGGACTTTCAAAAAAATTAGCTTCAAAAAAATAGTATCATATTTGGATTTTTTGGTTCAATTCAATGTCTTATAGATAAGAAAGATGTCTAAAATGGATCAATTTTGTAAGAAGATACTCTAGTTGGAATTAATAATAGTTGCTAGTAGTTCTTCTAACCTCCATTCGAGGGCTTTTATATATATCTTGTATACCATGTTCAACATAATGGAATGCCGATTCTTGAGATGCTTATAGTGTGAACTCAAATTTTACGACTCAATAAAACTAATGCCACACAACAAATTCAAGAGATGGAATAGAAGAACTCCCAATTGTGTAATTGCTCAGTTGATTTAAATCTTAGTATTAACAATTCAATTAACTTCAAGCCCTCCAAGCAATAGTTACCAATATAAATAAAAAATAAAAATAATAAAAAAATAAAATTATTATGGTCTTCAAGGCTATTTGTATGATCTCTACTTAAATCTCAATGGGTTATTTAAGATTATTTATATAATCTTTAATTACTAATTTTTTATGTGATTATAAAATCATAATTAATTAAATTAAATAATTAATTATTTAGTTGAATAGTGCTTGATCAAATTGTTATCATTAATCCATAGTAAAAGTAAAAAAAATCTTGATAATTGAGTTAAAAATAAAAGTTGAAATTTAAAAATAAAAGTCAATAGTGAAGTCAAAAATAAAAATTAAAAATAAAAGTGAAAAGAATATTAAAGATTAAAAATTAAAAATTAAAAGTTGAAATATGAAAGTTAAAAATTACTGTAAAAATAAAAGTAAAAGTGGGACTAAAGAGAGATAAAAGTGAAGGTACCTTAATAACATCTAAGAATTGAGGGCAACAACCCCTTTCTACTCCAAAATTTGCCAAAATTTGTGATTAACTCCAAATTGAATGATTTATAGTTTTTTGAAATTTAACTTAAAGGCGCTCCTGTTCTAATAAAATTAAGTTCAATCTAGTACTTAAGCCGCAAGAAATACTCCTTCAAAGTTGAGTGATCAAGACTACTATGGTAAGCAACCTCCCTCCTCTTAAAAATTAACCAAAAATTTAATTCATCTTTTAATTCAGAAAAATTTATTCCATTAGAAGCTCATCTTAAAGATTCACTTACTTCCAAAATTTCTTAATAATCCAATTAAGAAGCACTGAGAAATGCCTTATCAAAAATGAATGATCTAAACTGCCAAAGCAGCCAACCCCCACGCATTCAAAATTCCACCAAAATTTTGTCTTTTCTCCAAATTAAGCGATTCTTATCTTTTTGGAAAGCTAACACCAAAATCTATAATTAAAAAAAAAAATCATATTAGCACTCAAAAAATTAAATGACTGATTGAGGGAGATCCGAGGCTCTTGAATCCTTGTGGTATTTGAGAGGCCGAGGAAGCTATCTATCACAGCGACCTATGTCTTAAACCCCAATGACCATCATTCACTACTAAAGATCTATGCATATACAACCACAAGTTCAAAATAAAATTAAAAATTAAAAAAATAAAATAAAATTAGGATTTAGGGCCAAAATTTGGCATAACTTTGCCCTTCACTAAAAGAAGAGAGAGAGAGGGCTTGGGGAACCAAGCCACTCTTATATAATTGATTGGTGGGTTGTGGAAGGGTGGCCATA